AGATCAAGCGGAGCACGTCTCAGCTAGCCACTCACTGCCTCCTCGTAGCTGTTCTTAGAGCATCCTTCCTGCGTTTTTAAAGCGTGGAAATGCATCTTTGTCGTGGCCGCTCTCAAGTAGGATCCAAGAAAAGAGCATGGGGTGTTACAGTGCATAAATAAACCGAGGTCTGGTTCCTGTGAGCGGCGACAGATGTCCTGGAGTGCTTGTTTGACGTGCATGAAAAGCCGAACAGCTGAATGACAGACTAACAGCAGAAGTGACGAGCTGTAGGAGTTGTCACTTTCCTCCCTGGCTCTGGTCTGTGAAAAGCTGCACCTTGAAATGACAAAACAGTCTGTCAAGTCTGGGAGACAGATTAGTTTCTCTGAAATCTTATTTTCTAGTTTTGTGGACCCGAAGATGTGTGAAGAGGAGCTGTGTGAAGTGTTTTACCTCAGACCAGACTGCAGCAGTGTGAGGTAGTTACCACCGGCTCCAGTCTACACTAGTTACTAGTTGATTATCTTAACTAGCTTCCACATATCATATCGTCCTGTAACACAAGTACACAAGTACAAACCTGATATTGGACAACATCAACATTCTGTACAGATTACCCAGCAATCATCACTGCTGTCTGTATATGGCAGAAAATACCAAAAACTATTAATTTATTTGAATAGTTTTTATCATTTATGTAGAACAAACATTAGAGCTGAGCCGAACACTCGGATGAAACAAGTATCCAGCACGGATAATGTACTTTTAGGAGTGTAATCTGAGTAAAATGTGTCAATATTCACACAAAAATGATCTGAAGCTGAATCTTGAGCTTGTTCTGTAAATAACTTTCTAATAAATAATAAATACATCAACTTTTGATCCACCAAAATCAATTTCAGTCTTAAAATAACAACCTGTGGTTAAGACACACCCATCTGTACTTTAAGTCCCACCCACTTCCTGATTAAACCCCACCTGACATTCAGCAAAGGTCCATGGGTTGGAATTGAACCTACAACTGCTGCAGCGAGGACTCTGCCTTTGTACACAGGACGCCTGCTCTCTCCGCTGAGCCACTGTGGCACCACCTTTAAGTGTTCAGTGTGAGCTCTCTCTACAACAGGCACGTTTCAGAGACGGTGATCTGAATCACTCATGAGGCCTCGTTGATGCTCAGCGTTTGATGCTGAGACAGATGGAGCCGCCTGTGCACTAATGTCAGACGTATTTGTGCACGTTTTCTGAAGCTTACGGACAGAGACCAAAGTGAGCCGAAGCAGCGGAGACCGTGGAGGCAGTGAAGTGTAGTTAAAGTGAGATACGATCACAGGAGATGACGAAGACATTTTAAAAATGGTGAAACAGAATCAGTGGGTCGTTTATTATAATATATAATAATATATATAATATATATACATTATTACCACCTCCTCCACTGTTGCCTCGTTTGTTGAGTGATGCTTTTGACTTCATCCTCTTGTGCCACCTACTGGCTGTATCTGTGACATCATAAAGGACACATGAAGGAGTCAGGGCAGCGGCGTTTACAGTGTTTGAAACGGACGAGTCTCTTTTCAGACGTAAAGGGAGAATTAATGAGCCATAAGGTCCCATTTTCTGTCTAATGCATTGTTAGAGGACCTCTTCTCTCTACAGCTCCACCCAACATCACGGCCCAGTGCCTGCACTGTTTATATTTACGCCCCTGACAGACTCATTTATGTCTGTTGTCTGAATCTGGACGATATCGAGGCAAATACTGATACTCGTCTTTCTATTTATGATACGTTGATGTTATTAATGTCAAACAGGCAGCTGAGCTGAGAGAGACGGCGACTGCAAGTGGTGGGGATAACGCTACAGGACTAGCAAATAAGAAAAATGGCTCTGCGACTGTTTGTGAGTACTGCCACACATAACTTTATCTTGACTTTTTTGAAAGTATTTTATCAGCCACGTGATTTTATCCAACACATCATCTCCGCTCAGCACGAGGACGTGTCAGTGTCCGCAGCAACAAGTGACATCGGTTCCTCCGATCCATTCATCAAACTGCGGACCATGAGAATCTAAACCCAGCGAGATTTGTCTTATTAGCCTGACTGCATATTAGAAACAATATGGGCTGGACAATAACCTGCATGCCACAGTGACTACAGTTAGGTATCATACACTCTGGTGAAGTGTTGCCCGAGCCTACCGTTATCTCCTCAGACACACACGTCAGCACTCCAACAGTGGTGGAGGTCACAGCATAATGAACATGGCATCGTTTTCTTTCTTTTTAGAGAGGTAATATCGGATGGAGGACAGGAGGCATCAGGTTCTCCAGACATTAAACTTTCATATCCGTTTGTCCCCTCTCGAATGATGCCGACAACTGAAAGGCAGTATTCCACATGCCTCACTTTAAATATGCATCATTAAAATTTTGATGAAGAAGCTGCCGCCTGGTCTACTCCACATATACCATATTAGTTAATGAAAATGAATTATTTATGTCGACATCAGATGCCACCGAGATACAGACCTCTAATCGAAATCACTTTCACATACTGTAACTACAAGGACAGAGAGGAGAGCCGGGGACAGAGGGGGAGGGAGAGTGAACATGGAGGTGGGTGAGGAGGAGTTGGAGCAGCATCAGTCCAGTTTTGTTTCAGGACCCCCCCCCCCCCCTGCAGGACCTGTCAAGAGCCCTCATAAGTTCATCAAAGATGAAAACCTGTTTTCCATTTGAAAGGACTGACCCAGGATACAAAAACAGCTCTTCACATAACAAAAGCGTTAATCATCCATAGGACAAGCATGTGGGCCTCATAAAGCACGTAAGAATATATGAATATCAATCAAAAGACGGGTGATGAGATATGGGACTTTCACACGTGTTGATGAAGCAGGAAAATAAGAGTTGTGCCAGGCGCTGTTTTGGATTCCAGAGGACAGCGAGGATGAGGTTGTTCACATATGAAACAGGACTGAATAAAACAGCAGTGTGGTGTGCAGTCATTAGCCCACTGGAGGAAGAGCTCTGTAGCACAGTAATATGAATATTTGTTTAATTGGATCACTAATTATAGATGATTTCTGGGCAGAAATATATTTTTATTCTGAGCGTGTCCTGTTTTTAAAGAGAGGCAAAGTGTTTTATAAAAACCTGCAAAACAAACTTATTATGTTCCTGACACGTTTTCCAAAACTCAGAGCCGCCATGCTCGGCTGCGTCTGAGAGCCATTTGAGTGTTAATGAATAATCCGCTGTCTTTCATTGATGCCGTTGAAGACACTGAACCACTCAAGCTCAATAAAATGTTCCAGATGAAAAAGCTCTAAAAAAGCCTCTAAAAGCCCCAGAGGTGCTGGTGGTGGTGGTGGGAAATAGCTTTCAAGTGAATAAGTTGTTTTGATTCATTCAGTGGAGTGAATGTGATATTTTAAGTCCAGCAATGGGACTAAACGTCTCTGAGAGCGGCTCCTGCTAAACCGCCTGCAGATGAAAGCTTGTTCACAAGTGCTTGACATTTAATCACCTGAAGCAAGGAAAAAAACACACAGGGAATCAGCCATCAAAGCAGCATCACTATATGTTTGCATCTGTCCCTGCTCAGAGGAGAGATGCTCCTCTGCTCCTCCTGCTCCTCTGCTCCTCCTGCTCCTCTCACTGTGTGCTCACTTGTGGAGAGCACAGCAGATAGTCCAGCACATGATGCAGCAAACTTCACCTGGCAAGGTGTTGTCACAGCTGCACAGTGCTGCTCAACACTGCCCTCTGTCGCCCTGCAGCAGCTCAGCTCCCGCTCCAACAATGCATCCCAGAATAATCAACTTAAATACATGCAAGAGGGAAATGTCCCATTTTATAACGCTGCGTGTCTTTGTTCGACATCTCCGCTCTGCAGCTCTCTGCTGGACACTCATCCCTCTTTACAATTCAAATGCAGCAGATCTGGAGTGTGTGCATGTGTCGGGGAGGGACGGAGAGGCAGTTCATCCATGTGATGAATAATGAGACTTTCTCAGCTCAGTCTGGCTGTTTTCACGCAGAATTAGTCTCACGAACGTTTGCTGGGATTTGTGCACAATAAAGGAATGTAAAACACTGTGAATGTGCGCAAAGGCTGGAGCACACTCCGCGCGTAAAAGCCAATTTGCTAATTGGAATTGATAAGCAATGAGGTCATTATGGGCAGTCTGAAGACAGCCAGCGACACACAAGCAGAGAGGCTGCAAAGAACAACAGTGTGGTCAGTGTTAACGCACACATGCTGATCCTCAATCAGGTTACCGTGTCTGAATCTGGACTATTTGAGTTCAAATGCGAGTGAGACGCACGACACTGAGCAAACGGACTTTCCCTGGAGATGATCTGGAGGAAGTTTCCCTGCAGATTGATTTTAAAGTTTGCACATGTGTGTCTGGGGCCAGCAGGGCAGCACAAAGTAAGTTTGAGACGGTGCTAATGTGGCAGGCACAGGCAGCTCCTGCAGCCCCACAAATGCTCCTCTGATCCTGGGATGAAACGTGAGTGGAAAGTAAAACTGGCGTGGCATAAAGGAGCTGCTAACTGCTCTGAATAACACATGCTATCAGCGGACAAATCACCGCACCCTGCAACAGTCAAAGTCAGGAGAAGCGCAGAAAAGTCTTGTAGATAATAAGAAAAAATCGCCTCATTGTTCAAAGCAGCTGCTCTGATGGAACACACAGAGGGTCCAGAGAAAAACGGAGCCCACGGCGTGGATGTAACGCGTCCGAGCAGCCGATCCGTTATTGATAGAGCAGGGTTTTTTAATTTATCTGAGCAGGTTAGTGAAGCTGAAACACGCTATTGTGTTCATACTGTCTCCAGTAAAAACCCAGCAAGTCGAGCTGCATCCATTTTGCCTGCAAGGTGTGAATGTACAGCGGGATAGCAGCTGGAAACTGGCGCACAACACACCTAAAAAGTGCTTTTGTGCCAGTCATGTCAGGTTTTGTGCCAAAATAAGAGAAAGAAAAAGTGATTTTCTTTTTACCTTCGCTGATGTTTGTATTCCCAGAGTTGAAGATAAAGCCAGGCAGAGAAGAGGAGACAATCAGACTCGCACAGTGAGCAGTAGAGACAGAATAGAGACAGGTTCTAGTGCTGTGTCCTCAGCCGCTGTGTGCGTCTCTCTCCGAGCGACCTGCAGCCGACTACTGCGCTCTGCCTCTCCGAGAGCGTCGGACGATACCACCGGGCCGAGGGGGGACCGGGGAGGAGGTGGGGGGAGTGAAGAGGAAGAGGAGGAGGAGGAGGAGGAGGAGGAGGAGGAGGAGGAGGAGGGTGGAAGATGGGGCCGATTTGCAAGCGCAATAGGGAGGAAGTGCGCATGGACACCCCCGGAGAGCTGGAGGAGTGTCGCAACAGCGCGTCCGTCCAGAGTGAAGGCAGGCTGGGTCTGAGAGTGGAGCACAGCCCGGAGGACCTGAGGGAGACAGAGAGGCTCACGGGAAAGGTTTGTCCCGCGTGTTGTTGTGTGGGACTCCACCGCACCTGCTGTGTGTCCGCGCGCACACGTTACCTGGCAATAAGACTCCACAGGGTGTCCAAAGGTTTTTGTCTGCTGTGTTTTGTTCAGTCAAACTAAAAAGGGAACACACACACACACACACACACATACACACACACACACACACACACACCAGTGATGGTTAGACTCTGGGTGTGTTCTATCCTGTCCTGCTCTATGGTGCCAGGTGTAGCTGAGAAAATGGTCTGAGCCAAACTCCATTCAGAAAAAATGAGTTTGTGGTGTTTTATTTCATCAGATCTCATGATCATAAATCTGATGTGTAAACTGGACTGAACTGAGTGATGAGGTTACATCAGGTCAGAGCTCCGTGATTTTATTGTAATGTGATGTATTGTGTTGTAGTAAGGACCCGGATGTAGGATTTAAACAGGTGTGTACATCAGCTATTACATCATGTCCGACATTACCACGAGGAAACATGAATGTAATGAATGTATGCAGATGAACATCATTTTGCTTCAGCTCAACCGCCCCCCCCCCCCCCCCCACACACACACACACACACACTGTCTATTCTATTCTATTCTATTCTATTCTATTCTATTCTATTCTATTCTATTCTCTGAGCTGAATGATGTGTTTAGATTAAGTCATTCATTTTTACTTCATTTTCATGTTCACTGCTAATTATTTCCAGGAAGTTACAACATGTAACTGTAATATTTCACAATAAAATACATACTTATCACCTCACAGGCTTTTACTGTGATATTTAACTGAATACAGAATTATATCATGAAATCCATGCAGGTAAATACAGTCATTTTACAGACTGCTAATCCACAGTAATCCAATGTACATAATGTGAAGTTAAAGTTAAATTCAGTAATTTACAGGAACATGCTGTTATATCACAGTAATGTAGCAGGATTCAACTGTGAAGTTACAGTTAGATATAGTAATTTTACAGCTGTATGCAGGTATATGCAGGTATAACTAATGTGAGATGACAATATAGCTGTTGTTTACTGTAGAAAATGTCACGGTAAGATACTGTGACAGGGGTGCAGCTAGTATCCAGTAATTTACTGTAATTTACCAGTAATTTGCAGATATTTTACAGTGTAGGGAAATTAAACCTGCAAAATGAACT